GCCACCCGTCTCACAGTCGTGTTGCTTAGAGGTCCTGAATAGATGTAGCAAGGCTTTGTGTTCTCCGTTGTGTAAATCTTGTGTCAGGCACTGGGGGACAGAAAGTAGTACTGGGAAGACATCACCGCAGGCCACTGTGATGGCCAGGGAAGTCCCTGCACATGCGGCGGGACCCGCCTGCTGGATGCCCTGGTGTGCAGAGCCCCCCCCCCGGCAGTGCGTGTGGGTGAGACCCGCCCGGCCTTCACCCTGGAACTAACCGGAGGGGATTGTCCTCCGCTCCTACGCATGAGAATTCAGTTTGCCCAACATCATTTTGAGCTGGGACTTGAAGTTTAGCTTCTGATTGCTGACTGCTGTGTCCTTCCCATTGGCTCTCTCAACTGGAAGAGCGAGATAGGGTCACGGTGGCCATCTCCATGTCAGCTGGGTAAATCACACGCAGGGGAGAACAAACGGAAAACAAAACCTTTCTCTTCAGTCTACATTATTTTGGTGTCCTTTTTTTTTTTAAAGATTTAATTTTTATTATGTTTTTATTGGAAAGGCAGATATACAGAGAGGAGAGACAGAGAGGAAGATCTTCCGTCCGATGATTCACTCCCCAAGTGAGCACAACGGCCGATGCTATGCCGGTCCGAAGCCAGGAGCCTCTTCCGGGTCTTGCACGCGGGTGCAGGTTCCCAAAGCTTTGGGCCGTCCTCGACTGCTTTCCCGGGCCACAGGCAGGGAGCTGGAAGGGAAGCGGGGCTGCCGGGATAGAACCGGCGCCCACATGGGATCCCGGGCGTGCAAGGTGAGGACCTTAACCACTGCGCCACCGCGCCGGGCCCCTATTTTGGTGTCCTTTTAAAAACAGCTTTACTGAGATAGACTTTTGGCTTATATCTGTTACAATGACTATTTCATTCAGCTTATATCACAATTAACATTTAATTAAGATTGAGAGTGTATCATGCTGTAACTGGTTTCAAGAGTTACACAGCCATTACCACTATCAGTTTTCGAATGTTTTCATTATCTTAGAAACTCCTTCTGCGTCCGAGCCTCCACTTGCTCCCTGCTGCCCCTTGCACAGGCGACCACTAATCTCCTGTTGCTATGTACTATCTGCTCTGCACGTTCCTTACACACGTGCTCCAGGTGCTCTTTCAAACGTGATCGATTTCGTGCATGTAACATACTATTTTTCAGGGCTCTTCCATACTGTAGCTTTTATTAGTACTCCGTTTCTTTGTTTGCTGAGTATTATTCCGTTGAATGATTATACCACGTTTCATTTAGCATTTGTTTGGCATTTGGGTATTTTCCACCCTTTGGCTATTACAAATAATGTGATATAGACATTCGTGTACAAGATTTTGTATGAGCAAATGTTTTCATTTCTGTTCATTTTCACTACCCCAGGAGTGAGATTGCTGGATTCTGTGGTTAACATATTTGACATTTCAGAGTAGAGACAAATTATTTTCCAAAGTAACTGCAAACTTCCCTACCCATAGTGTATGAGGGCAGTCAGTTTCATCATGTCCTTACCAATGCCTTATTTATTAAAATTTTATTAATTTGAAAAGCAGAACCACACACACACACACACACACACACGGAGACATCTTTCTGTTTATTGGTGTTAGGGACCAAGTGACCGAGCCATTGCTTTCTTATACGGCACACATCTGCTGGAAGTAGGAATGGAAGTGGAGGTGGGCCTTGAACCCAGGCCCTCTGCTGTGAGAGCTGTCCCACGTGATAATTATAGGGCCTAATACCTGCCCCTTATTTGTATTTGGTTTTGGATATAATTAAGTGATATCATGGATTTGGTTTATATTTTCCTGGTGCCTCATGATGTTCAGTGCTCCTTTTTTTTTTATTGAGTTATTTGTCTTATTATTGAGTTGTAAGTTCTTTATATATTTTAGACATAAGTCCTTTATTAGAGTTGGACTTTTCAAACATTTTCTTGTGTTCTGTAGGTTTGTGTTTTCATTTTATTGGTTGGTATCTTCTGAAGCACATATGCTTTAATTTTGTTCCTGAGCTTGTCTCTTTTCTTTGTACGGGGAAAGGACCCATGTTTTTGCACATGCTGTCTGATTGTGTCAGCACCATTTGTCGAAAAGATACTCTTTCCCCTTAGAATGATCTTGGCACCCTTGTAGCAAATCAGTTGACCAGATACGATTGAGTCTGAATTCTATTCCGTTAATCTGTGAGTTTATTTCTATTCCTTTATACTGGAGTTTGAAATTGGGACGTGTGAGTCAGCCTGCTTTGTTCTTTTTCAAGGTTGTTTTTAGTGATTCTGAGTCTTTGGAATTTCCATATTCATCTTAGGAAAAGTTTGTCCATTTCTACAACTAAACTCACATCTTGTTAGGAGTAGCTTGGAGTCTTTAGATCAGTTTGAGAATTGACATCTTGGCAATGCTGAGTCCTGATCTGTGAACGTGGGGTATCTTTTCAGGCTGTTGGACAGCTTGCATTGGCAGTGCACTTCTAGATACAGGTGTTCACATGCGCGTGCTGTATTTTACAAGTTAGCAGTGGTGGAGTTGAAGTCCTTGTGTCTGGATTGTCAGGGTTAATGCAGAGGTCTAACAGGGTTTTTTTTTTTTTAAGGTTTATTTATTTTTATTGGAAAGTCAGATTTACAGAGAGGAGAGGCAGAGAAAGATACTTTGTCCTCTGGTTCACTGCCCAAGTGGCTGCAATGTCCAGAGCTGATCTGATCTGAAGCCAGGAGCCAGGAACTTCTTCCGGGTCTCCCGTGCAGGCCCAGGGTCCCAATTCTTTGGGCCATCCAGGGAGCTGGATGGGAAGTGAAACAGCCAGGATATGAACTGGCACCCATATGGGAACCCATTACATGCAAGGCAAGGACTTTAGCCACTAGACTACTGCACCAGGTCCCTGTCTAACAGTTTTTAGCTAAGGATGCATTGAATTGATATAAAACTGGTTTCTGGAAATTATGTAAAGAAAGTAATATGGGTAATATCTTTAAGATTTTTGTGTCTGGTGTGGTGGCTGAAAACCTTGGGACCCCATACCCGAGTGGGAGACTCAGACCAAGTTCCTACCTTTGGATCAACTCAGTTCTGGCCATTGCAGCCGCTTGGAGAGAGAACCAGCGGATAGAAGATATTTCTATCTCCTTCTTTGTGCTTGTGTTTCCCATAAAAATAAATCTTTAAAGCAAGATTTTCTAATCAACATTCACACTAAAAGTGTCATAGCCTGTGTTGTGACTTGCTCATAAAGTTATTCTTACCCTAAATATGTCTGGCATAGGAGAGAGATCTCCTTAGGTAAACCTACAAACCATTGCCCAGGGTCGGGAGGCCGTGTCAGAGCAGTAGCTGACGTAGCTGAAGGAGAGAGTCCTCTAAAAATCCTGGAGTGAAAAAATAGACCGCAGCTGCCTTTGTGCTTCTGTGGGATGAATAGTCCCTCCCAGACCGGTGATGGGCGCAGGCCAGTGATGTAACGGTGATGGTCACGTCGCAAGTTCTACTCTGGCCGATCCTTGACGTGAAAGGTTCACCCCTGGGGAGTTTGTGCCCTGTGTGAGTGACAGCTGCTAAGCACTGGCTCCTGTGAATGTGCCGAGCACAGGGGTCCACCCTGTTAGCCGGACATGGTCCTGTTGCTTGTGCCAGGCTCCCCAGAAGCCGGAACCGGCGTAGGTGCTCTGTGACATCCAGGCACTGGCATCACCTGCTCGGCTCCAGCAGCAGTGTTCTTGGAGCTCTTCCAGCTCGCTGCTTCCCGTTGCTTGCTGATTGGATAGTTGTGTGAACGGACCCTGGTGCTTTTCTGCTTGGTCAGGGACACTGTTAGAACACGTGGCTTGGGTTGAGAACAGAGTTTTGGGAAAAGTGGAATAAATGGCTGCCCGTCCTACGTCATCTTAGGGTTGACAGGCTCCCTGTTTATTGCCATGCCTCCAGGGCACGGTTAATAAATGAAAGCTCCCACGTTAGGGATTCATTCTTGTGGTATAAGGCTTGTATCCACTGTGAAAGCTTGAAGAGTTTGAAGCTTTACTACGTTAAATCTTACAGGCAGTTTGTGTCTACTTTTTTTTTGTTTGTTTGTTCAGAATTTGAGAGGTTTCAGTCGGGGGCAGCCAGGGGAGAGAGGAGGAGAGAATGTTTATACCGTCACTAGCTGCTTTACAGCCATGTAGGGAAACGTCAGAAAAAAAGAGCAGAGGTGCCTGGAGACAGCTGACCGCAGCACCGTGCGTTCACCCGAGGGCAGCCTTTGCACGGTGCTCAGGGCTGCCCACGCTGGCTCCCGTCTTCCCTGGGAGACCCTGTAGAGCGGTGTGTGGCAAGCTACAGGTCTGTGTATCACACGAAGCCTGCCACCTGTTTTTTGTAAGTAACGTTTTATTGGAACATAGCTGCTCTCACTATTTGTACTTCATCATGGCTGACCCTTTTTGCCACACAGGCGCAGTTGAGTAGCTGGAACACATTTGGCCCACGCCTTGCGCTTCATAGAATAAAGTTTGCCAACTGATCTGGAGAGTTCAGGCTTCAGGAATGTTAAGTAGAGATCCTAGCTATGTTGAATTTGTTGTAGACTACTTACCCTCTAATCTTGCCATCATGGGGACTCACGGATAGCAGTTGTAAGGAAAGATCGTTACTTATGTCAGAATGAAAGCTTGATGATGAAAAGCTGCTTACTTAAAAAAAAAAATTCTTACAGTTAATGGAGGCTGCTGTGTCCTGAATCCAAGCAGCCCGTGGAAACTGGAGCTCTGATTTACACTGATACCTGACCACCAACCTCTCTCAGGCACTCCCATCTTACTGTCAGAGAGAAATTCTGCATTTTTTTCCTATTTAAATTCCTTTTTTTTTTTTTTTAGCATTTTTTTCCCCCCAAGACTTAGTTAAGGCTTTTGAAAATGAATATAAATTGCTAGCCTCGCTGCTGGATGTCTTGCAGGCATTCCAGCTTAGTCACATCTTCCTTGTCTTCAGTCTCACAGCTTGAAGTCCATGGCCCAAAATGACTCTGCCAGTGGAGACGCTCGTCCTTGAAGAAGATCACCGGGTCGGAGGCTGGGATGAGCATGCCACTGCAGCCGCGCTCTGCCATTCCAGCCCAGGGTGCTGCCTCTGCTCGCGTCTACACAAGTAAGACCAAAGAGAAGGAGAGGCAGGAACAGGTAAGGGGAATACCACGCTGGGCTTATTTTGCAGTAAATTTCCATGAAGTATTGCATAGAGTGGCATTGATTTCCCAAGATCAGAGTTTGTGCTGACAATATTCTCATAAGCACACAAGTAGTCGTGCTCCAACGGAATTGTCTTCTGGTAGGTTTCTGTGTTTACAGACATAATATAAACTTAGACTGCTTCTAAGTGGTTCCTTCATTGATGAGTTCAGCCTGATTACTTCTGGGAAAATCACTGAGGCCAATTCTTTGGATTCTCAGGGCATGAGGATCATTTTCTTTGAGCAAAAATGTAGGAAGGTTTTGCTATAGATCTGTTGTAGTTAGCAACACAGAGCCTCTCTCTGCCCTTGGGTGTCCATCCTCTGGCTTGATCATGAAAAGGCTAATCAGATCAGTGATGGAGGAAGTTGAGGACCACCTTTCCCTGCTCCCACCACACCAGTGGATCAGGAAAGGCTTTCTGGAGAAAATGGCATTCGCGTGGAGAACTGGAATGGTGGCCAGGAGTCTTGAGAAGGGGGACTGCAGCGTGTTCTAGGTGGGAGAAATTGTACATACTGAAGATCCGGGGGTTGAGCAAGGTGCACTCGAAGATGTTGGGATAGACTAACTCCAGCAGAACACACCCGTTGGATGGGGCATCAGAGGAGGTTGGAAAAGCTGGCGAAAAATCTATTGTTGTCCTTTTAAAACAATTATTAAAAAAAAAAACCCGCAACATTTCTTTTTGAAAAGCTCAGATACAGAAGGAGAGGCAGATTCAGAGGGAGTGATTTCATCTACTGGTTTACTTCCCAAGTGACACATGGGTGTGGGCCACAGCATAGCCAGGAACCAGGGAGAACGCCTGGGAAGCTGGGAGCAAGCACCTGTGCCAGGTCTTTGGCTGCTTTTTCCTTGCTGCTTTAGCAAGGAGTTTGGTTGCCAATGAAGCAGCTGTGATTTGGACTAGCACCCATATGGGATGCTGGCATTGCGGGTGGCTGCTTAAATTGCTCTGCCACAATGCTGGCTCCAGGGTTTGTTGTTGTTGTTGTCATGCTTGCTTAAGTTGGTCATTGAGGCACCCATTTGGGGAGTGAATTAAATGAATAGAGGGTTATTTAATATCTTACTTAGTCCAGACTTGACAACCTGTAAAGGATCAGATAAAAAAAAAAAAAAACGTTTAAGACTCTGTGAGTCAGAATGAACTGCTGCTTGGTTGTGCCATTGTAGTGTAAAAACACACAAGAAGACGGTGTCTGCTTCTCTCCACATGAGTGTGTGCAAGTGAGATGTCAATGACCAGAACAGGTGGCCAGCTGGATTTGGTCTGGAGGTCAATTCCCTATCCTTGGCTGCAAAAAATGTGATGGTGACCCTGAGTATGATGGGAGTGATGGGGTGGGGGTGTGTGTGGTATGTTTGGCTTGCTACCCGGTCGGCTGGGTGAGTGCAGATGGGAGCGGCTGGGGCGAGGCAGGACTGCCTGCCTGCTCTCTGCTTTGCCTTACACAGTGCTTTGGCAGACATTTGCTCTGTGAGCTGTTGTGGCGTTTCTTACGCTTAAACTTACTAGTTGCCCAGGATTGTAAGGAATCTTTGTTAAATCTTGAATTAAGAAGTCCTGCTCGAAGTTGAAGCTTCGTTCCTTCCTCTACACCATGGAGGATTTTTTGAAGGCGTAGTCTTCTGTGTCACGCCCTGTAAAATACAAGAATTGCAAGGAGTAGTACATCGCATACATTTAAAAGGACCTCTGAATCATTCATGTTTTTCTTTTTGATTGTCAACCTGCAGCCCTTTCTGTTTTACTGAATTTTGGGGACGTGTGTGGTCAGCATTGTCGGAAATGCCAAGTGGAAGTATGGGTGGGGTTGGGTTTATAAATATAGTGTTTTCAGTATTTTTTGTTTATCAATTTAAAATAATGGGAAACTACCCACAAGATTTATATTTCTTATATTCTATCAATGAAAGATTCATTTAATTAAAAAAGATTTTTTTTTTTATTTTGAAAGAGAGGAAGAGACAGAATTTGCATTGGCTGATTCACTCTCCATATACTTGCAATGGCCAGGGCTGAGCCAGGCTGAAGCCAGGAGCCAGGAGCTTCATCTGAATCTCCTCTGTGTGTGGCAGAGATCCAAGCGCTTTGAAAGTCTTTTTTTTTTTTTTTTTTTTTTTTTTTTGTCCCCTAGGCCATTAGCAGGGCACTAGATGACAAGAGAAGCAGCCAGGGCAGGAACTGGTATCTACATGGGATGCTGGCCAGTGTTGCCAACTGTGACTTTATCTGCTGTGCCATAACACTGGCCCTGGTAATCTCTTGAAAATCCTCTTGGTCTAAATGAATTGACAGATATAGCCAGGCAGAAGGTCAGTCTAAGAACTTGTCTTGTAGCAAGCCTAGGCTGCCAGTCCTGTTCTCACGTCCAGTGCGGAAACCAAATTGGTCAGAATGTCTGGGTAGGTGTGGATCTTCTGCCTAGGCTACTGTAGCAGAATAGCACGGAGTGCTGGTTTAAGCAGCAAGCACTTGTTTTTCACAGTTCTGGATGCTGGAGGTTCTGCTCAGGGTGCCAGTGGGACCACATCCTTCTGAGTTGAAAACAGCTGCCTCTTCACGCAAGCGTACTGATCCTGACATCCTAACCTCACCTCCAGTACCTAATTACCTCCCCCAGGCTTTGTCCTTGACTGCTGACTTGCTGGGGGTGAGAGCCTCGACGCAGGGTCTGGGGCAGGGAGGCATTCAGTCGTCAGGCGTGTATGTGTGTGAGGAAGCTGTGTAGAGTTGGAGGGGGAAAGAAAGGAATTGTTTTTAGGTCAGGAAAGGAGTTTATATACGTACACATATACACACATATGTAACAGTAGTACTTGTGGGTGTAGTAAATAGAGCCAATCTCCTTGAAAGGCTTTTCTTGATGTCCACAATTTGATAACCTTAGACATGTGCACACACATGAAATCATGTCCCCATCAGGCTCACAGAGGCGTCTCCCACTCCCCCAGTCTCTCTCACACTGCTTTGGCATCCCTCCCTTGGGCCGCTGTCCGTTCCCTTTCTCAGTACTCATTGATCTGTTTTCTTTCAACGTAGACTGGTATTTTCGGTTCACTTCCCAGATGGTTGCAGCTATGGGAGCAGAGTCGATCCAGTCTGAAGCCAGGAGAGCCAGGAGTTTCTTCTGGGTCTCCCACAGGGATTCAGGGGCTCAGGCTTTTGAGCCATCCTCCTGTGCTTGCTAGGCTACAAGCAGGGATCTGGATGGGCAGTAGAGCAGGCAGGACACAAACTGGCACTCACATGGGATGCTGGCGCTTGCACACTGAGGGTTAGCTAACTGAACCACCGTGCTGGGCCCTGGTCAGCATTCTTTCATACAGTTTAGTTCCTTGCTTATTCATCTAAGTATTTCTCTCAGTAGTTAGTTAGCCTATTTTCTTGCCAAGTATTACCCGTCATTCAGATATGCCACAGTTGTTATCCTGTTGATGGGGATTTGGGATGTTTATGTTTTTGGCGATGACAAATAAGGCTGCTGTGAACATTCAGGTATTTCCTTTCCCTTGCGTGGAAAACTGCGAGTGCAGTTGTATAGAAGGTATATAGGTTTATGTACATTAACTTCGTGTGTACACACCTGTAAGTGTTTATTTTCATCTGTTTGTAGAGTAATAGGCATCTTCCATTTATTGTTCCACTCCCCAAATGTTTGCAGCATCCAGAGCTGGATTAAGCAGAAGGTAGGAGCCTTTTACTCGGTATGGCTGGGTGGGTGATAGGGACCCAAGTATGTGAGCCATCAACTGCTGCCCCCCGTGAAACACATTAGGATGAAGTCAGATGGCAAGTGTAGAAGCTGGGACTGCAAGCAGGCGCTCCCACATGGGATGTGGGTGCTTCGAGTGGTGTCTTAACAGCTGTGCTAATACCCAACCCCCTCCTCCTAGTTACCATTTTATTTATTTGGGTTTTATTTGAAAGACAAAGGACGTAATGTTTCTGTACATGAATATTGCGTTGTCCCAGCAACAGCTGAATAGACCGTCATTTCTGCAGTATCTGTCCTTCAATCAGTTGTGCATACATTTTCTCTCTGGGCTCTCTTTCTTATATTCACCTGTTTGTCTTGATACGCACACCACTCAGTTGTCAGTGTTCAGGCTTTACAGTGCACCTTGAACATAAGGGGTTTTCTTTAAACTCATTTTTCCTATTTTTGGTTATGTTTTTCATTTCTGTGTTTAAGAATCAGATTGTCAATTTCTATAAAGACAAAAACCACTACTAGATTTTATATTTGTATTATTTTTTTCAGATAGCGTAAATCTTTAATAAGCTATTTTTAAAATAAGTCATTGTTGCATTTGTACTCAAGTTTACAAACAAGACATGTTACTCCTGTTGTATTCTCACTGCTCTCTCTAATGTGCAATTTAGATCAATTGTTAAATGTTTTCTGAAACTGTTATTTGATTGTTTACTTTGAGGAATTAAGTGGAAACAATCTGGTAATTCAACTTATTTCTTTTTTTTTAAAGTTTGTAGAAAATTAAAAGCTAGGTTTATTTTACTGCAAAAACTTCTGAAATTCATGTATATGAGAGATCTTCAAAACGTTCATGGAAAATACAATGGAAAAACTATACATGAATTTTGAAATAATTAACACAAAAATAAACCTGAGTTTTAAAATTTATTTTCCATGAAATTTTTTCTTTTATTATTATTATTATTATTATTATCATTTTATGATACAGTTGCATAGGCCCTGGGATTGCCCTCACCCCTCCCCAAGTCCTCTCTGCTTCCTGAGTTCCCTATGTAATTACTATAATATAGTTCTTCATACACAGTCATATGTCCCATCATTGTGGGCATGGACAATGGCAGAGAGTCCAGCATCCTATTGTCAAGATATAGTAAACAGTTTCATTGGGAGTCCATCTTTGATCTGGAAGTAGAGATGCATACTGCATTGTATCCTCACATCTGG